ATGGGGTCTCACCGAGCCAAAGATTTTGCTGATGGCTGCCTCGGTCTGGAAATCGGTTGCCCCTTGATCCATGTTAGCGCTGATCATATACGCCATGGACTGTGGAGAAAGAATGGTTGAGAAGGTCCCACCTCTGGAGCAGGGGTGGCTAGTTACACAGGGACCCCTTGCCCAGTGCTGAGATGCAGCCACCTCTAGGGTATGAGACTCACCGAGCCAAAGATTTTGCTGATGGCTGCCTCGGTCTGGAAATCGGTTGCCCCTTGATCCATGTTAGCGCTGATCATATACGCCATGGACTGTGGAGAAAGAATGGTTGAGAAGGTCCCACCTCTGGAGCAGGGGTGGCTAGTTACACAGGGACCCCTTGCCCAGTGCTGAGATGCAGCCACCTCTAGGGTATGAGAGCTAGTTACACAGGGACCTTTCACCTGTTAGCATGTCACAGTGCCCCCTAGTGGCAGGCTCACCTCGGTGACGTAGTGCAGCATGGCCATACGTGCCAATTTCTCCTGAATGGTTCCAAAATTGTGGATCTTGTCCCCAAACTGGGTGCGATTGGCTGCATACTCCACCTGGGGGGTGGGGGAATAGCCCAACCGTAAGGGGTGCCAAACTCTCAAAGTGCAATGTGGTGGCTGGGGATTTCGGAGCGGGGGAAGGAGAGTGTCTAGGCTAGCAAAGGGGAAATCCCACAATGTAGCAGGTGACTAGAGGTGGGGTGTCGGATATCCCACAATGCAGTGTGAGGGAGGCTGAATTTCCAAAGTGCAGAGGTGTGGGCATGGGGGGCAGAAATCCCAGAGTGCAGCAGGGGGCTATAGGGGAGGGGTAAACAATCCCACAATGCAATGGGGCAGCTATAAGAGTGGGGACAGAAATCCCACAATGCAGCCTAGAGTGGGACTTTGGGGGAGGGGGGGGAAAACAGGGCTGACAGCCTTGCCAAGGATGCCCCTCATGGTGCCAGCCATGGCGGCCGCCATGCCAAACCGCCCATTGTTCAGGATGTTCATGGCCACCTTGAACCCGGCACCTAGTGGTCCCAGTACATTCTCTGTCGGCACTCGCACACCCTCAAAGTGCACCTCAGCTGTGTTTGATGCCTTGATCCCCATCTTCTTTTCAGGAGGGCCACTGAAATGGGTGGGAGTATAGGGGGCGCTGACAATCCAGGACAGCCTCCCCGAACATGTATCCCAAAACACAGACCCCCACCAATAGCCCGATATTGTAGGCACCAAAACAGCACCCTTGAACATGAGCCCCAAATCACAGTCCTGCACCTCTGTTATATAGGCTACTGCAAACCTCCCCATATCATATTCCCCGAAACGCAACCCTTTGAATGTGCATCCTGAAATACTGCCTGCTGCCCAAACTGTATGCCCTGGAATGCCCCCCATGTATCCCACCCCCTAAATACACCCCACCGCGAACACTCCCAAAAATACAACCCGGAAACAACCTCTCCGTGAATGCCCCTAAAACATGCCCCAAAGTTCTAATTCCCCCAATGCCGCCAGATATACCATAGATATACCACAGCTGATCTATACCCCACAACAAACACCTCATGGTGTCCCAACACCAGGTACCTGTCCTCCAAAACATGCTCTAATTTCATTTAGACACCTCCTAGCTCTGCCACAGTGCCCCAAGATGTTCCCCACCTCCCAGATCTGCGCCCTCCCACCAGGCTGGGTTTGCAGTACTCACTGGGTGACCCCCCCAAATGCTCGCTCCACAATGAAGGCTGTAATCTTTTCCTTCACCTCACCCGTCGCCTCGTCCTTCACAGGGGTCTTGGCAAAGACAGTGAAGAGGTCAGCCAGCCCCCCATTACTGTGGAGGAACACAAATGGGGAGGTAAGGAAAGTAGGGTACACTCAGGGACAGCCTTCTGCTGAGACCCCATGCCCCACAGCACCCCCTAGCACCACCCTTGGGCCAACCTTTCCTGCCAGGGAAGAGCACTCCCTGCTGAGCCCCCAGCTTATAGTGCCCCCTAGCACTGCCCTGGAGCCAACTCTACCTGCAAAGGTAGAGTTCCCTCCACTGAGGCCCACTCAGGCAGCACACACCTGATCCAGATCTTGCCACCGTCCAGGGTGTAGTAGGAGCCGCAGGGGCTGGGTCGGGCCGTGGTGCGGATGGAGGCGGCATCCGAGCCACTGGCCGGTTCGGTCAGGCAGAAGGCAGCGATTGTCTCTCCTTGGGGGTGGGGGGAAAGGGTTACACCCGCATTTCTCAAACTGTGGATCCCGATCCCTTGGGGGGTTGCAAGCAACTTAGAGGGGAGTCACGGTATCACAAAGTTTAAGAACCCCTGGGTTACACAATTTCCATCTACAGCCCCTCCCAGCCATTAGGCCCTCCCCCAAACACTCCTGTGTCCTTTACCCTGCCCTCCAGCCCCACCCCTTCTTCCTGCCTCCCTCCATCCCCTGGTTCCTCCTCCCTGTCCCCATTATACTGTACTCCCCCACTATGCCCACTGTTCCTTCACATCTTGCCAATCCAGCCTTTCTCGACGTACACCCCCTCATTGGCACTCCTCACCTGTGGCCAAGCGGGGCAGGTACTTCTCCTTCTGCTGGGGGGTGCCATAAAGCAGCAGCCCCTTGAAGCCAATGGACTGATGGGCCCCCAACGTGATACCTACACCCAGATCATGCATCCCCACGATCTCCACCAGCCGGGCATACTGTAGGTATATGGGTGAACACAAGGCCAGCTGAGATACTCTCTGCTAGGGACTTACAGCAGGGTCGGGGGCACAGAGAAGGGGGAATGGGTCTCACCTGGGTGTTACTCAGCCCCAGCCCCCCCAGCTCGGGTGGGATCTGCAGCCCGAAGGCCCCCAACTCCTTCAGCCCCTGCAGGGTACGGTCTTCCACCTGTTCCAGTGAGTCGTTGGCTGCTGGATCATTCACTTCCTGGCCAGGGCAAGGGAGTCTGAGTGAGGGATCCCCCCTACATGCTGCCCCCCCCATGTGCAGTCAACCCCAATACACACCAAACCTCCCCTGAACTCAAGCCTCATCTGCTCTCCCACTGGCCTTCCAGCCAGAGCCCCCCAAACTCAGCCCTTCCCCACACATATCTCCCAGGCCTCCAAAACTCACCTCCCTCCCACTCATCTCCCCAGGCCCAGTCCCTCCTAACTCATCCCCTACTTACCTGGAAGAAGCGGCTGACGGGTCCCACAAGCTGCTTCAGAAACTGGGCCTGCTCTTCCGTCAGCACTACAGAGAAGGGGCAGGTAGTGAGTGAGGGAAGCCCTCACAGATATGTGGGGATTCCACCTCCCTGCCCCAACTTCTCCTATTACTCTCCTTGGAGTCACACCCAAGCCAGCAGGGCAGTCCTCCCCCATACCCGCAACCTCCCAGCAACTCCCCCCCAGCTCTCCCTTACCCGAGGGGTAGGGGAAGACCTGCTCCGTGCTGATCCGACCCTGGAACATCCCCATGGCAAAAGACTTTGACTCCTAGGGGAGGAGCAACAGAAAAAAAGGGGGCTAATTGGGGTCTGGTGCCCCCCCAGACTCTGACATTCCACCATACACCATTAGGCCCCACCAATTCCTCTCCACCCACAGGGGAACTGGGGCTCTGACCCCTCCCAAAAGATTCTTGATACCCCTCTAATCAGGGAAGGAATAGGGAGCCACCACACTCTCTGATTCTCCTTTGCACTGGAAGGAAAATTAGGGTCTGATCCCTCCAAAAACAGGAGGGAAATAGGGATCTGCCCCTCCCCTCAATCCCCATCCAATAGGGGTGCAGGAATCAAAAGAGAAACCACACCCACAAATGGCTCCCCTTCCCCCTCCCAGGATACTGAGGGTTAATAGCAGGGTTTGGGGGGCAGTGGACATACCTCTGGGGGGAACTTAGTCTTGGATATGGTCTGTGAGACAGTCCCTGCCCCAGCCTTATTCAGCACAGCCTGTGGAGAGGAGAAGACAGAAAGCATCAGCAAGGGGCTGTGGGTCAGGAGAGAAAGGCACCGGAAGGTTTGGGGGCAGCCCAGGGCTGGATTGGCAGGGGCTACATGTCAGGAGTAAGGGGGCACCAACAGAGCTGGGGGAACCCTGAGCTGGTACCCTTTCTCCAGGGAATCAGACCAGAATTAGGCTTCCTTCACCCTAGGCCCCAAGCTAGCCTGTCACCTTTGCCCTAAATATTCATGTCCTGTGACTCATCCCACAATAATAAAACCTTTCACCCAGATTCCCTGTGGAGACCAAATTCCAGACGATACCAGGACAAAATAGGAATATGGCCATCTCTAAGGCGGGGTGGCAGGTTACAAAAAGACCCCCTGGCCCAGCACTGAGATGTGCTTGCTTTGGGGGTAGGGTGGGGGTTAGCTGCAAGCTGCCAGTCTCTCCTCATGCCCACTCATTGCAAGACAGCACCCGCCACTGAGCCCCCAAATGCTTACCTCAGCAGCATGGGTGCTGTATAGACAGCTGCTGCAGGACTGGAAGGTGGGGTATGCTTGGGCTGGGGCCCTCCTGTAGCTGGGGAGACATGGGAATTAGGTTAGCGTTGGGGCCCTACGGAGAGGGAGAAGTCCCTTCCTCTGCTTCCCCTCCCCCAGGTCTAATCCTCCTCCACCACTTCCCACCACTCTCCTCCCTCCCCCACCACCACCATCATTCTCCTACTTGCCTCCCCTCCATCCCCTTCCTCCTCTCTACCCCATCTCAGATCTCCCCTCCCCCACTTCCTAGCCCCTCCCCACCCACCCCCACTCCCCACCTCCTCG